AGATAATTATTCAGTAAGGTCAAGTGATCGAAATGCCTAGGTGGAGGCCGCTTCCGATCAGTAATATTAATGTATAATTAATATTATAGCTTAATCTTGACTGAACCCTTCGGGTCACACCCCAATCGAGTAAACGATCCGAGTCAACGAATCAATCCGAAGGATTAGATGAGTCATTAGAGTATTACGAACAAAGACGTCGGACATCAAGCTTAGAGCATTGAAATCGAGAGTCGTAAGTCGAGTCGAATTTAGAACTCGACGAGACGAGAAATCAAGCAAGCGACAAGTTCGAGCTAAGCCGTAGCCTCGCATTTGCCTAGCAATGCAAGTGCTAGGCTGGCTTAAGATGCCATGCGCATCACTAGGAATACCGCAAGCATGCTAGCAAGGCTGGTGCACAAGGCCGCAAGCATGCATCGCATAACACTTGCACAACAGCTCGCTACACGTGCTTGTGCTATGGGCTGTGCATGCTGGGCATCGCATAGCAGTAGCACTTCACTAGCATGAGCATCACAGCAGCGTGTTAAGCATGCTGGGCTGTGCGTGCGTGCTAGCGTAGCAACACCAAGCACCACGCCACTCGCACAGTAGCACGCACCAAGAAGTGGCAGCAGCATCGCATGCGAGTGCGCTGGCTGGCTGGCTGCGCATGTGCTGCGTGCTGGCTGGCTAGGCTGCCCTTGGTGCTAGGCGCCAGCTGGCAGCCAAGGCAAGCTACCAGCCAGCCAAGTGGTGAAGTGTGTGCTGTTTTGTGTGGGGATCAAAATTAAGGGGTTGCTTGGTGAACAAGGGTTTGGTCCCCCCCCCTTAAATGGTCCTCACCTACCCTTGCCCTCCATGTGACACTTGGACCTTGTTGATTGCTTTGCATTTTAAATTTGTTTTGGATTAAAATAAATTGTGGAAAAATGTAATTCTCCCACATTAATGGGAGAAGGGGAGATCAAGGCTCCCATCCCTATAAATACCTAAGTTTTGGGTTTGGGAAAAATCACTTGAGTTGAACTCAATAAGGCATCTCTCTATAGGTGAGAAAACCTTTAAGTTCGTAATACTCTAGTCTTTGCTTGGTCTAGCCCCGACTAACCTTCGGGGTAGAGGCCGTTTGGATCGGGTCTCGAGGGTGGACTCTGTCGGAGGCTCTCGCGCCTGCGGAGCTAAGGCTTTGAAGTCTGAGCTCTATAGGAGCGAAGCACGCGTTGAGGGTAAGAATGTCATTTCCCTATCTCTTTCTTTTGTTGTTTAATTATGTGATTACATGCTTAGTTGCTTTAATTAGTGGGCGGGTCTTGGGCGAGTTTCTCTTCCGCGTAGTGTTGGACGCTACGAAACCCAACAAATTGGAGTAAGTACGAGACTACATACAATTGTAAAACCCTAAATTTACATTCTTACAATTGAGGACAATAGATAACTTCAAACAATTGTAAAACGCTAAAATCGTTGTAAGGGAGTAAATTGGGGAACAAAAGAAACTACAAACAATTGAAAAACCCTAAAATTAAAATCGCAAAATTTCAAATGCAATCACTGTCAAACCCAAAATTGATTTTGGGAAAATTCAAAATCAAATTCAACCATTATCAAATCCTAACATAGTCGATTTAGGTAATATCAATTAGGGTTCATTAAAATTCACCGATTTTGGAAAATAAGAAAATTGAGTAAATTACAAAAACCCAACAATATATTTACCAAAAATTTAACACACAATACACGACACAATTTTCTATATACAAAGAGAATCAAACTACGTTTTCATCAACAAACTTACTAGTTCAGAGGGTTCTTCAGCTCGGCTAAAGGTAGTGTTCTTCAATTCTCGACACGCACCACGTTGACGGAATACGAAGGAATGCGGACGACGATATAGAATTTATGAAGAACAGAGGGAGGGAGGGAAGGGAGAAGGAGGACTGTAACACCCCAATAATTCTCTCTTTAAAAACCTGTAAATACCTTTAACAATTTGCAAGAGAATTACTGACGTGTTACCGCCACGTGTTCAAACGTTAAGGCTAGTTCAGAATTTAGCAGCGGAAAAACTAACTCAGCTATCAATAAGTTTCAAAACCAAAAATCAAAACCAAATTTAGTCTTACAAGTTGGAACCATTAAGGCCCTTATTCAAAACCCAATAAAAGTAGTAAATAAATCAAATCAAAGTTTAATTAAATCCAAACTTATGAAACGAAATGTACTGTGGAAACATCTAACACTCCACTCAAAATCCCACCACCTTTATGCAAGTTATGATTATGTAAGACATGTGATTAATCTGCTCCCCAATATTACAAGTGTAAAATTTGGATCATTAAAGGGTCATTGAAAGGCGAAGGCCATGACCAGGAAAAAGACATACAAAAGCACGCAATCAGCAACACTGAGTACATACAAGGTACGAAATATAGCAAAGAGCCCTAGCATGTTACTAAAAATCAATCTGCACACACACAATATAATCATTAACTCGAACACATGACTCAATTGTTAATCATTACTAAGTTATCATTAAATAGCATTGATCATTTAATTAATTTGGTTGGATTAAGCAATTGACCAGGTTGTCCCCCTATGCTCCGTTTCGGAACATTAATAAAAGAAAACCCTATGCCTCCTTTCGGAAACATTAATAAACATCTAATGGAAGACAGGCGCGACTCCGTGGCCATAGCTAGTATGATATCTCATCTAACTCATTATAATTTTAAAAGTATTTGAAAACAAGAGACTCATAGATCAGACGACCTCTGAAAAGTACACGGCTAATACCCCGTCCCCAACCCCTGTTTGTCAATACTCCAGATGTGCACAAATCCAGAGTTTTATTGCTCATCCATCTTGCACTTTACGTGATTTACCAGTTTAAACTTGGTGATGACTCAAATGCAAACCAATACAACCAATCATACATCCATCATTCAAACAATTCAAATTTCCAATTCAATTCTTGATTTATTAGTGACAAACAATATTTAGTATTGAATCCTTTAACTACCTCGGTGTATAAACACCTTAAGTGCATAAGGCACCTCAATCCTCAACCTCGTCTTATAAGACTTTAAATCTCCCTTTACTCATTCCATTTCATTAATCATGAACGAGTAATACAGTAATTCATTTCACATATTCACGTACCTTTGCCTCTAAGCTCATCTTGCATGTTAATGCATAAATAATACTTACAAGATAAATTAATACGCAATTCTCATACATGAAACAAAGCTAATCTCCACATTAATCACCAATCAAACTTACTACCATACAATTCCAACCAATCTACAAGTTTCCTAACATGATTCTAAGGTTTTCCAAGTCCTTAAACATGCTTCTAAAGTCAAGGTTTTCGTATCCTTGTGCGTACCTCGAGTAAACGAATTGGTTGACCACTTAAGGAACTAAAAATCTCCTTCTAGAAAGCCCTCTCCTAAACCAAACAATAATGGTTCAATCAATACCCAATCAATATAATTTACAGCAATATTAACTTACTTTAAAACCCCTTAAACCATTGAAATAATGCTTTTAAATTACTCACAATAGTCAAAGTTAATAATTCAATAGTTCAAGTATAAGTTTATATGTTAAAATCATGAAAATATAGCTTAAAACATAAAATTCCAGCAACTTTAAAGTAAGGATTATAATCTGGAAATTTAGTTTAAGACTATAAAACAACCTCATAAACATCTCTACTTGAAATAATCATTATATAGTAGGTTAGTATGTTAAAAACCTAAAAATCCATCATAAAACCATGATTTAAAACCTTTAAAACCAAGATTAAAAATCTGAACATTTAATTTAATAGTAGAATGTATGAATACAACAATCTAAACTTGAAATATATAATTAGAATTCAATTAGTTTCATAAAAACTCAATCAAACCTTCAAAATTCAATTAAACAACACTTTAAAACCTTCCTTTTTGCTAGAATTAAAAGCTTATATATTATTCTTAAAATTTCCTACATAAAAACATTAAAATACATACTTAATCATAAAATTACAGCAAGTTTAAAGCTTTATAAAAATCTGAAAATTTATTTTAAACATTAAACCTTCGTTAAAAATCAAAAACTGCCCGAAAACCATATTTAGAGGCTGAATTTTGATTAAAACGTCATTTACACACGAAAAACACTATTTTTTTTGCAAAAATCAGACGAGTCAGAGTCGAAACGTGATTAAGAGAAATTAAGAACGGAAATCATAAATTAACTACGAAAAATTGAAAACTTGCTTTTGAATTAAACATCATCATAATCATAGTAGAATCACAATATAATCATGCTTAAATTGAATAACTTTAGCAACACGTTTTTAAGCCCTAAAACCATGAAAATCAAGTTTTAAACCCTAATTTCTTAACTAAATAAATCTGAAATTTTGATGCATAATTTAAACATAATAAAACTTATAAATTTATAATCTTTTATAATTCATATACATAATCAAACCATAATAATAACAATTAAATAACAAAAATTGATAAAGATTTAAACTTGGATTGAATTAACAAAAGAACAGAAAACAAGAGGGAGGAAGAAAATAAGGCTAACCTTTTTGTGTAGGGAAAATTTGGGGATTCATGGGGTATTTATAGGAGAGAATTGTAGGGTAGAATTGGGCCTCATGAAAATAATGGGCCAATTAAATAAACAAACGGGTTAAGCTTTGTTTTTATAGTAATAGATTGTTGGATATAGGTACATAAAATAATTTAACCTAAAATAATTTTTGACCCAAATTAATAATTTGAAAATTAAATTATAGAAAATACAAATAAAATAAAATTTTATTTATAAAATATTTAAAAATACGGGGGATTACAAGGACGGTGAGCAACAGAGAAAGTTGAAGAACATTTAACCACAGGAGAGAGAAAGAGAGGGAATTGAAGAACGAAAATCGAAATGAGGAGAGAGAGATACAAATACTTCAAATACACTTTGTATAAGTTATTATGAGATACACTTCACATACGAAAAGAAATACATAAGTGATTTCAAGTGAGAACGCGAACTCACAGGAATGTCTTCTGGTACAGTCAGCACACTTGCAAACAGACAAGCTTATGTTCTACTGTAGAAAAGAGAAATGCAACAACCACCACAGCTAACCTTTTAACATGAAGGAGTGGTGATCGGAGAAAGAAACGAAACGAAACTGGGCGCCACAAAAATATGCTTTGTTCAGGTCGAATATTGGCTTTTTCTCAGCCAACTTCTAAACCCTTGATTTTCTACTACAATTATTCTTCATCTTCCTCCTTAAGATTCAATCGCAGAAACCTCCATTTCACTTCGACATGGCGCTGTTCATTATCGTCGTCTATGGCTTCCGAATCCGATCCTTCTTCCGCAGCCCCTGATTCCACCGACTCTTCTAGCTCTGCGTAATTCCCTCTTTTCGCCTCGTGTTTTTATTTACCAATTAGTGGGTGTTGCCCAGGTTGCTACTTTTATTGTTGAGCAACTGTTAATTAATAGTTTGCATGTGTTTTCAATACTTATGTAGTATAGTATAATTTGTGTGCAATATTAGATCGTAATTGATAGTATAGATTTATTTGTTTTTGTGTTTATGTTAATTTTTGTTGTAAAATAGACATGGGAAATGATAGTAGACGGAGTTTGTCCCAGTCCGTAGACTTTAGTCAACTTAGCTAATTCACTTCCGCTTGTGTTTTCGTTACTTATAGTTTGAAGCTGTTTGATTTTTATATTAGGTAATTCTGTTGGTAGTTTGGAATCAATGAACTTGATTAGCTTATTATATTTTTTTGTGAAGAATAGCAGCGTTGGGGTGTATTGACTTGCTATATTATTACTCCGACTCTTCATTTTACCTCAATTGGATACTTGAGACTCAAATATGGGTAGGACACTTAGATACTTCACTACTTCGGATTAAAATCATGCAAATTATATTTATTTTTATAAGATGGCCTGTGTTGGACACTTATAGCTGAATCTGAGTAACATAGTTGATTTGTTGATTACGCTGATTGTATTGTGTACTTGAGGATATCAAGGTTGAAATTAGGTAAAAAGGTCATAAGTGTGTAGAGTTACCGAAATATTACTTCCACGTCAATATGTAAATTTCACTTTTTTTTTTTTATTGTCCAATCATGTACGAAGTCATAATGTCTACACATCTTTGTAGATATCACTGAATGATAATAGTGCCTACTTGATAGTCAAGAAGTCCTGTAGTTTGAGATGCAAGAAAAACGAGCCGGTCCTTGGACAAATTGAATGCTGAAATTGCATGGACTTGTTGTCAGCTTGACATATTGATGTACTACATAGATATCTTAGTGTTGAATGTGTCTGTACTCTTTTTGTCCGAGCAAATTTCTGGTTGTAAACACTTAAAAGACTCCATATCCAGGTATTTTTTGTATCCAAATGGTATTCGGAATCCAATGATCTTAAAGTGGGTGAAATATTAGTAAGAACCATATATCCTGATAAACTCAATGCTATGATTAACTGAAGGATCAGTTACACCACCATGCTTAAGATGCTGTACGTCAATAAATTTTAAATAGCAATGACAGGGGAGAAATCTGCATTTTGCATTGTAAGGAGGTACTATATTGCCTTTTGTTGGGGAGCTGGCCAGAAGGTTCTTATGTCAAATTGCCATTATGGTGAAAGAAGTGTTGAAATCTTCTGAAATACGGGTATTTTTAATTTATGTACTTGGAGGAAGCCTATGCATAAAAATTTATTCTGGAATGTTTTCCTATTAGCGATGCCTAATTTTTTCCCCTAATAATCAGAAAAAAGAAAGGAAATCCTTAGATTTTGGTTTATTAATCAATCTTTATATGAATCCTCTGCCTATAATGTTCAAGATGACAAGCCAGAGGGTTTAGACTTCAGACATATTTGTATGAAAATGGAAGTAACTAGTTTGCTAAACTATGACAGTATTAGCACCTTAATAAGTTGGTGCTGCACAATGGAAAGAGAGAAACTTTGATGTTTCCTGATTTAAGGTTATAGTCTATATGCTTACCTTGCTTAAACAAGGATATTTTACGTATTCTATTAAGTATTGTATGCATTATCAACCTTATGTATAGGAGGTCACTGGGTTCGGCTACACTGGTAGGAGTCTAACTGAGAAGGAAACAGATAAATTAGTTATACGTGCTTGTTTAAAATGGAATCCCTTAGTTTGTTTGCTATGTTTCTATACTTCTTGATGATACGCAGCACTCAACTAAGAAATAGGTTTCTTATTGTTATATTTAAGGATACGTATATTTTAAAAGTTATGCTCTTTTGCAGATTTTGTATCATAGAAGGTCCTGAAACCGTTCAGGACTTTGCTAAAATGGAAATGCAAGAAATTCAAGATAATATTCGGAGTCGCCGAAATAAAATCTTCTTGCTTATGGAAGAGGTTAGTATAAAATAGTTTACAGTTTATTTCAAGTCTTTCAACTTACAACTTTGAGTACATGGTTCACATGATTTTTTTCAAGTTATGGTTCAGTGTGAAAGAGAAGGAGATAGTTTCTTCTTCAAGTTTAGGTTCAATTAGAAGTAGTGATAGAGCTAAAAAGGATCAAAACATTGTCCAACTTTGTAAAATCCTAAAGTATGAAGTATTGTCTTCCTCATAGTCTAGACTATATAGTTTTGGATTTTTTAGAGGATCAATATCCTGAATTGCTATGTGGTATTGTTTTCAGTGCACTATATCCTTGTCCTCAACTGTTGTACTCACAATATTTCATTAATATGAGAGTGAGGGATAGCTCAGTTGGTAAGAGCTTCCCTCCCAATTCCAGGGGTCTTGTGATATATTCTCATGACCACCCGCCCTTTTGGCTCTGTAAACAACACACACACACACACAAAAAAAAAAAAAAAAAAAAAAAAAAAAAAAATTTGTTCTACGAAAGTATCTCGCTTCTTAAAAATCTTTGTCTTATAGGTTCGTAGGCTACGGATACAACAACGGATCAAAAGGGCTGAGCTAGGTATTTTAAAGGAGGAACAAGAAAATGAACTACCAAGCTTCCCGTCATTTATCCCATTTTTGCCTCCTCTGGTTAGTTTTCTAGTGATTTGTAGCATATTTTCAATCATGTCATTACTGCATACTTGTTTCTCTTTTTTTGATATCTGTTGGTTCCTTAATTTGGTTTGTGATTATTCCTCGTTTCCAGTAATCATTATTGTCTACTTAATATCATTCATCCACTTTCAGAGCTCAACAAACCTCAAACAGTACTATGCTACTTGTTTCTCCCTTATCGCTGGCATTATGATTTTCGGAGGCCTTTTGGCACCTACAGTAAGTATTCTAACTCAATTGTAACTTTTACTGCAGCAACAGAAGTTTCATAGGCCTGTTTTGTCCCTATTGTTTTATTAGCTTCTTGTCAGGTCTGCAATTGGCTATAGATTTCTCAGTTGAATGCTTTTTTGTCACCAGGCCTGTGAATACATTTTTTTTTTTTTTTTTTTTTTCTGTGGCTATATGCATTTCCTGCAAAATGATTTTTTATTTTTTTTTATTTTATTGTTTTGGGAGTCCCCTGTTTCTTGTCAGCTAAGGAACGGGTTTATGGGCAAGGTGATTCCTCTTGAAAACTCCCTAGGTATTGTGTTAGAAACCCCAAACTCCAATTTAGTTTTGCTGAAACACTGGTATCATTCCTCAGTTTTCCCCTTCACAATCTCCCTCCACCACTCTGATATCACTTGATTCTTGGGGATATTGAGACAGTAGCCAAGTTTCATCCCGAGATCCTGGTAGTTGACTTTCAAATAAAGGCTGAATCTGCTAGGACTTGGAATAAAACAGAGAATACCAGAGAAAAACAGAGAAGAAAATAGCTAAGTAACCGATATTTGTATTGAAGATCAGTGTAATCAACAATACAATCTCCTTCTTTTGAGAGGAAGGAAATCTCTCCCAAAGTGTTTACTACAATATTTTTCGTATAACTTCTTACCAAGCATTCCTCCTATTTATTACAAGATTCCTCTCAACAAACTAACAGAGTTAGGGAAATAACAAACTAGCAGTAAATTACTAAATTGCCCAAGATGCTAACAAACTCCATAACTGATTATTCCAGCTCAGCCATCAAGTTGATGCTGAACCGGGGGTTTAACCTTCCTGCGAGCATATGTAAACTGTATAGTAGGCCTGGGCTGGTTCCTTGCAGAATCTTCTATAAAATGCTGTTATAAGTGAATCTTAGTATTTTGGTATAACTACAACCAAGAAATTTATATTCCAATACCAAGGCATATTTCTAAATCCTTATGGATTTAGTCAGTAACTTATCATAATGCTATCACGATCAAGTTTTCTATTGCTTGACTGAGTCATACTTCAAATGTATGGATTAAGTTGGCACTAGACACGCATGGGAGTGTTCTAAAATCTCTTATACAATATTCTTGTATTTGAACTGAGGCAAACCCCTAATTCTACAGTCTTGCTGCAGTTAGAGCTTAAATTAGGATTGGGGGGAACATCATATGAAGATTTCATCAAGAGTATGCATTTGCCAATGCAGTTGAGGTATGAGTGTCACCTTTCTTGCCTCTTTATAGTGCATTAGCCCCTTTACAAATCTTTGCTTTCTTACTTAGATGCAATATGCTTACACGTTGATAGACAATTACTTATGTATTAATTGTTTGATTTCTTCTCATTATTAATTGTTAATTTTTTCTTTTAAGAAGAGATCAAGCTTTGCATTCTTGAATCGTAAACAGTAAACAAGCACAGATTTTAAAGAAATATAAGGACTAAAATCTTGGTACATGGACGTGATTTAAAAAGGAAAGGGTGGAATAGTTGATGGATAGTTCATAGTAATATGATTCGTGCCCAAAAAAAAGAGAAGGTGTTTCCTAGCCACTACTAGATGATGAACGCAAGTCGCCACAAGTGTTGTTTGTGTTTATCAAAACCCCTAAAGTATGAACTCACTTTTAAATTAACCAAATCTGTTTTTGCTCATTATACGCTTTAATATAGGCCTTAGGCATGCTTACATTCCATGTAAAATTCTCAAATAAAACCCCATACATTCCCTTTACAACCGTTTCATTAATTATAGAAAAGGAAACTAAGAGTGACTTGTTCAAAGAAATGTAAAGTCTTCAACTCTTCAACAGCCGGCTATCATTACAACTTCACCGGGAAAAGAAATTCAAAAGTCTTCAACTTTTCAACCTGTTCAACGAATCCCAATGAGAAACTCTTGAATTTCATAAAACACCACCAGCCATATCTTCTTTAGTTTCATGTCTTAAATGAGAAAAGACAACCCATATGAACCAACTAAATATATACATAAAAATAACAGCAACACTGAATATAATAAAGTTACAAATTTGTAAGCAAGCACTTAAGTAGTCCAAATAAGACAGCTTGAAAACACTTGTTTAGTGATTTTGTCATGTGACTAAGAAGTAAGAACACTTATCTTATTCAGATTACGGCTTGAGGGCATGAGATTATTTTGTTCTTAACCTTCCTGTTGTGTATGGATGACATTTTTGGTGTCTAATTATTACTCTGTATTATCATAATAATATTATTATAAATATTATTTTTATCTATATCTATATTTATATCTATACTTTTATATTAAAAAATGGTACCAAAGGAAGTCTACGTGCCATATGGCACTCTCCATCACTCATTGGTTCTCATTCTATGTCATCAACTTGCATATTATAATTTGCAAATCTTGTCTATACAAGATTCGAACATGTAATCTAAAGTTTTAAACTAGATGTCTTACCACTAAGTTATGTCATATTTCATGTTGTTATTTTTCTTTCTTTTTTTGGCAAACAAAAGATCAAAAAGGTAATGAAGGAAAGTATGACGAATAAAATTTAACTAAGAGAAGGTTAAGTCATGAACTAATGTTTAATTGCTACATCCATGTAATGACCGGGGGCTTTGCCGAGCCCAAGTACTAGTTTCCCGTCAATAATATATATTTAGTGGTCTACAAAATCTGTATATATTATTTCTGCAACAAGTGTAAATAGTGAACCTGGTAAAGATATAAAAGAAACCAGCAAATGAAACATGCCATGGCAGCTTGTGGGTTATCATGCATGAAAGTGCATGGATTCCTTGACATACACTTTGTAATAAAGGATGAGTTAATAAATGCGCAAAGAAAGGTATAAAAGCACAATGAGGGACATGCCTCAAGCTAGTTCCATGAGGGTGTGAGACACTATGCCTTTACCACCTTGTAGACAACGGTACAGAAGCAGATATATCTCCTAAGTTGCAACAGCAAAAGATGGAAGAGAAAATGCTCAATATTGTACAACTCACAAGTGACTGATCTCTAAGATCAATCATGCCCCTCTATTTCCATCTTACTGTTTTTGCTCATTATTTTTAACTATTTGAAACCTTCAAGTGTATGATTAGCTTGAATTTATACGGTGGTTGTAACAAGATTGTGTTATTGAACAACCTTAATTGTTTTTTACAAATTATGTTTTTTCAAATATCGGTCTTACTTTATATAGGGTTGTAACAAATCTATACCTTAGATTGCGCCAACCAGAGAATGATTAATAGTGAAAAAAAGGTCTGGCCCACCTTAAAAAAAACACGGAAGTTATTCTGCCACTTCCTATCTACTGCTAGCTCACAAATTTACTTTGATCTTCTCCTCGTTCTTCATAGTCCCTTTTTTTTTTTTGTTCTATCCCTCTGTTTTGTCCTGCAGTTCTCTTCTTTCACCTCCCCTTTGTTTTAAATCCTTCATTGCTTGGCAAGATGTCCAATTGGAGTTCTAAAAGTATCTAATAATCAGGCCGTTAACAATTGAAGGAAAGAGAAATGTTAAATCTTGTAATCTTTGTCAGGGAGTGAACCGAAATTATTGTTAATGTCTGCTAGTGAAGCTATTCAGTTATTTGAGAGTTTTCCTAGTTGAAACTTAATAAGACATGGACAAAGTGGGGAGTTTGCAGATTTAATCACCACAAAGTGTCAAAATCACTAGGACGTGAATCTCTCCCCCCCTCCCCCCCCCCCTCCTTCCTCCCTAAAAAATATAGATTCTACTGTAGATATGGTATAGTAAAGAATAGTTTGCAAAAACAGTACTGTTCCAAAATTTGCCAACTTCTGCCTCTCCTGTTAGCTACTCCAAGTAGCAAGATTAACGGAGTTGCAATTCAAAATCCAATTGTGTAAATGTTTTACCTGCCTTAAGGATTGTTTCAGGCTCGTAGATCATAGGTTTATACTTTGTTGTGATCATGATAGATGTATTTGAGTATTATTCTGATGTCATACCAAACTAACTGTCATTCCACTTTTCATCTTAATTTCAACCAAGAGACTTAAACTTGTGCAAGTGTCTTGCTTTACCTACCTGACCTCTTAACACAAAAGTTCAGCTTCATCAGCGTCTCCTAAATTGCTTTTCGTCATCAGTTAACTTGTAATTGCACATTGTCCTTATAACTTCATTTATACTTTGCTACTGGATAACTGGGTATAAACCTTGAGAAATATTAGATAAACAATGATTGACATATCTATTCTGGGTACGTCTAGGAGGGATAGTTCCCTTCTTGGCTTCTTTAAAAGTCCCAAGCAACAGTGTACAAAAGAATTTCATCTTTTTTTGTTTAACCATGATGTATTTTTATAACGGTTTACTGCTGTCATATAATTGATTTATTCTCTCTCTCTCTCTCTCTCTCTCTCTCTCTCTCTCTCACTCTCTCTCTCTCTCTTTTATATTTATTTATTTTTAAAATTTCTGTGGTCAAACGGCCTTGCTTCCATTAGTTTCTAAACATGTTTCTGCTGTATAGCATGGTTAAGGTGGAGATGTAATTATCTTATTACTGTTATCTTGCAAAATGCAGTCAAGTAGACCCCATAGTAGCTTCATTTTCAGGGGGAGCTGTCGGTGTGATCTCAGCATTAATGGTGGTTGAAATAAACAATGTAAAGCAACAAGAACATAAGAGATGTAAATACTGCCTTGGAACTGGTGGGTATTTTCTTTTCTATATGTCATCATGTTGTTGACTTAAACTTTTTATTGCTTCGAAAGTTTCTTGCGAATGTTATTAATTGATCTGTGCTAGTCTGCTAGACATTCTTCTGATATGTTTCTGTGTCTTTTCTGTTTGTGTGTTTGTAATGCATTCCAAGAATTTTGTTGGTGGCTGATACAATAATAAAAACAATCTAATTTCAGACTCCAACAAAACAGGGTGTGGAATGAATTTAAGTGTAATACACTCTACAGAGATCAAAGTAGTAAAACCTAAAATTCATTTGTAAGGAAATATATCATAGAAATCTAACCAGAAGTTTAACTTTGTTATGTGGAACTGTGACCGCTATTACAACAATACGGCACATTTTTGGTACAACAACCTGGAATTGTACAAAAGAGAACCTGTACCAAAGAGGTATGAGTGAGAATGCCATGTGTTGCTATATTCTTGGAATAGGTTTTGTATCTTATTCTTTCGTTCTAGTTGAATCAAAATTCTGAAATATAATTTAACATTTGTTTTTGCCCATTTTTTTCTTTACTGATGTTTTGACTTTTGGTACATGAAAAGAAATATAAATATAATTAAGCAAAAGTTATTTTTGTCCTTTTCGGTGAGGTCAAATGAATATAAGTAGAGGAACAGAAAGAGATAATCATCACAGGTAAATTCCAGTAGAAGTGGGAAATTTGAAAATTTTCAAATCTAGATAGCGTGTGAAGTGTGATAACAATGAATAAAAACCAAACAATAAATATATAGTGAGAAAATATATCATAGGAGGAGCGCTAAACTACATTTGGATTGTAGGTTGTATTTGGAACTGTAAAGGATAATTCTAAAAGAAACTAGAGTTGAGAAAGGCTCTCAACTTCAGGTATATGAGACTGCTTCTTTCTTCCACGAGGGTGAATGGAAAGTACAATTTGCTTTAAGTGGTAAAGTTCTATGCAGGGCTTCTTAATTATTTTTTTCTTTTGTTGGCTGTTTGACTCGTATAATTTCTATTAGACATGATCTTCCGAACTGTTATAGTAGTGTTTCAATTCCCAGCCATGAGACATTAACCATGGCAATGGCCCTAAATTGCTTTCTTGTTGGTGATCTATTTGGAAACAAAACAGCCACCTTGAACTAGTGTATGCCTAGAAGGTCAGTCGATCAATGAAATGTTTTTGTAGTAAAGGGGTGGTCTATGGTTTACTAAAGCTGGTTGGATACTGTAGTACTTTCATGTTACTTGTTTGACGCATCTTCTACAGAGGAAAACTATGAGTTACGGTAGTTGCAAAACTAATATGATCTGAAGCCGGAGTAGAATTGTGTAATGTATTGACCACTATTATGCTTAGACTTCTTTCCAATATATAAAGTGACACTGTCTAAATTGAATGCTAGGGAAGCCAATATAAGAAGACAGCATATGCTATATGTCAGGAGTGCCAGTTGCGCGAAGAAGGTTTTGGCTGGTATTCATTTTTGAGGTCTAGAAACTTTTGTGGTTTGACTTAACACCAACAAAAAGCTACTTCCTCCGTTTCTTATTAGTTGCATCACTTGAAAAATTGCGGACTCCGGGCAATTTTTGGAGATGAGAGAGATATATAGAAAGAAAAAAGTAGACCCATGTGTTTGGAGGGAGATAGGGAGAGTTTATTAATTAAAAAAGAAAAGTGATGCATCTAAATTGAAACTTCCTTTTTTTAGAAAGTGATGCATCTTCAAAAATAGAGGAAGTAATTACTATTGATTTCTTCTTAAAGGTGGTCGCTGTGGTAAGTGTTAAGCTCATCTCAAGAGAACTAATTTTTCAGGTGTCACATCATGTGCTCATCCTATGATCTAGACAGGGTCCGAGTTATTGAACTTTTCCCATTCTCCATATGTCTTTCAGTTCAAAGAGAGAAGATTTAGAAAAAGGCTTAGGATTTCTGTTCTTGAATTATGATATAGATTTCTGATGAGAAAAATAAAATTATGTAGTTATAATTTCAGAAATGAAGGTATAAGCTTGCATGAACATGTGTGCTATGCTTTATGACAGAAGTATGATAGACGGGTAATAGACCTGTCATTCTCTATTTGGGATGTGTCTTGTGTAATAAAGTTGTGTATAAAATATATACGTATGCCCAACTAGAGTTCTTGTTTTTTTTTCTTACAAGGTCAGTAAAAGACTGCATATTTTTGTTTTTCCACTTATTATCTGATCAAATTTTGCTTTGTTTGAATGTATGAACGAAACTATTATAGAGAAATTAGTTGTTATAATACTTGTGTTAAACTGTACGCTATTTAATTTAACTTGCACTGCAAATGATGTTCAATGTTTTTAATATTGTTATTTTCTATCTGTGATTACTTTATGAAGGTTACTTAGCATGTGCTCGCTGTTCGAACACTGGATCTCTTGTTCTTATTGAGCCTGTTGCTACGGTTAATGGCAGTGATCAACCTCTTTCATCACCAAAGACTGAGAGATGTTCAAATTGTTCAGGATCCGGAAAGGTTAGTTTTAGACTAAGACATTGTATGCGTATAGGCTATCAAAAGTCAAATATAACTTATTTTTCTTTGGCTATCTGTCTTATTCGGTGTTTAATACTGTTTATATAACAAACCTAAGCTTAATTATTTATGGATAAGTTTAGTGTGTAACAGCTATGCGATATCTTGTAGTGAGACTGGAATCACTAGATTAGTAGATTGACTCATTTTGTTGTAGGGTTGACACCTAACTTTTTATGGGGATTGAAAGACAATCTTTGCCAAGACTAGCTCATAAGTCTTACTTGAATAGTTTATTAGCCTTGTGTTAACTAGGATAACGTATCATTGTCTGGAAGCATGATACTTAATAGAAGAGTACAACCAGTATGCATTGGCTTGGTGATGTACCTAAGAACGGGATCTTCTGGCTGACTCAAAGAATTGATGAACATCTCTTAAGAAATTGAGCAATCTTTTAACCACTATATTTTGCTTACCTTGCTCCTTATATCAGTTATGTTGATAATATTATACTATACTTCTTTGATCTTGCAATAGTGACTTTTAGAGTCTAACTGTGAATTGGCTTGTAGGTCATGTGCCCTACTTGTCTCTGTACAGGAATGGCAATGGCTAGCGAGCATGACCCAAGGATTGATCCATTTGATTAGAGGTACTGTAACATATATTAAGTTCTCCGTGTACATCTATATCGCTATGTCGTGTTGTAAAAACTTGTACATATATTGTCCTAGTGACTACTTTGTCTAAGCCTTGTATGAGTCCTTTGATCATTCCAATTAGAAATTTTTATGTGGAAAAACTCTCATTTTTGTTCTTGATAAATGTTGTGTGGCCACATATATTGTATCACAGATTCACAGGTTACTGGTTACAGATTTTTATGTCGGACTATATTTTTGTAATTTTTTAAGCTGTGTAGCTTGGAACAAAGCTTTCCATGTCTTTCCTAAGACAATTACACTAACTCTTCGCAGAATTGGTAGCAAGGCATAGCTCTTGTGCGTTGATTGTTCTCCCTTTTAGTTAAAATATGCGACACACTCTAAGGCTCTTGATATGTTTTTATGAGAGTCTATAACTCGTGTAGGATGTAGTGGAGTGTTTTATATGGTGTCCAAAGAGTTTTCTAAGAAAAATGGCAAGGCCGATGGACAATGCTACAATGTATCTTGGATTTTTCAGCTTCAAGTCGTTAGCAAAAAAGGAAGAAGTATGGAGTTTTAAAACTATTACATGGACTGGTTGACGGGTTGTAAGACTTTTACTCATGTTAAGATGTGGTTTTGCCTCATGAATCGATAATTTGTTCAACGTCATTATCTAATATCGAGAGATACATAGAGAACATAGTACTATGTACGTTCTGGGATGGGCAATTCAATTCAAGTTTGATTTGAATCGGACCCGATTCGAAGGAAAAAATTCAATTTGAATCCGTTTATTAATAGTTGGAATATAAATCCACTAAAATAGATCCGAATCCGAATAGGGGGCGGATCAGACTTGGACCTTTCCCAAAGTCTGATCTGGTATGACGTGAATCCGAATATGATGTAAAATGGATTTATTAGAGACAATACAAGCAATTATAACTTATAAGTATATCACACATTATTTAAAAAAAAAAAAAACATTTGGATCAATAACATGTCTGAATAAAAGAACTAGATTTGGATGCTAAAAATATTAGTTGGATCAATTGGATTCAGATTTGGATCTCGAATCCAAGGTCCGATCACAAAACAGATCGGATTCGTATTTAGTCCCATTCGACCCAAATCTGATATGTTGTCATTCTTACTTATTATATTAGTGAGGTTAAAACTAGTATTTAAGACCCTATTTACTTCACCTTATTTTTGTTGAATTACTGAACTGAAATTACTTTTATTGAAGCGAAATTATTTTTATTAAACTGAAATTATTTTTGCTCAACTTAAATTATTTTTCCTGAATTGAAATCTTGTACTTCCTCAGTTTTTATTTAGATACATCACTTTTGTAATTGCAGAATCCTAGATAATTTTTAATGTACAAAGAGATAGAGAGAATAAATAAAGAGGGTCCATGTTTAGAGAGAGATAAAGAGATAGAATTTATTGATTAAAAGCGAAAGTGATGCACCTAAAGTGAAATTTCCCTATATAGAAAGTGATACATCTAAAAAAAGGAGGATGAAGTAATAATGATGACAACAATAACAATGATATTAAGACTAATAATTATATTTCCTACAAAAAAAAAAAAAAAAAAAAAAAATAAATAAATACACCTACCATCTTCGTTCATATTTAATTGACACATTGAAATGAGCACTTAAGAAATATTTGAGTGGGTAGTTTTATTGAATTGCTTATTGTAACGTGAAATTAGTGAAATGTTATATTTATTCATAGAAATAGTGCATATTGTAAAGTAAGTGGAATGTTTTAGTTGAGGTGGAAATTATTTTAATATAAGCCTTTAAAGTGGTGGTGGGTCATTGTGTAAGATAGAAAACCAATTAATTATTAGAAGGTCCTTGTCATTTTTAGTAATATGTCAATTATTTTGGAACGAACGAAAAAAAAAATGTGTTAATTATTTAGGAGCAGAGGGAGTAATAATTACAATAATAACATTAAATTTAGCGATTTAAATTTGAGTCGAACATGACACGACCCGAACATGATTCGACTGAAAATGACCCAACGTGTGGACTTGAAAGACCTGACCAAAAAATACCCGACTCGAATTTGACCAGACCCGATGTGTTGACTCAATACCCGACCTGATTATTAACCCTGACTTGACTCGACCTGAAATAAAATGACTCATACCCGACCCGATCAACCCATTTGCTAGGATACACTTGAGTTGATGATTAAAAAAAGGAGTTGATAGGAAGAATTGAAAATTTATCATCCTTTTCTTGATTTTGACTTTATTGTTCATTAGGGTAGTCAACTTCTTTCTCAGATGCCTCTTATCTTTAACAATTGGTTCTTCATTAATGGGCATAGAAGAACCGTCATATTTAGAAATGCTCCTCACAATGGTGGCTTTTACTTAATCCCTAGGTGTTTCCACATAGATGGAAGAGCACCTATGAGTGTATTGTATAACAAACAGACCATCTGTGCAATCCGTGAATTTTGTAATGTGCTATCAACAAATCACTTTGTGTATCCTTACTCTGCATTTGAGTCAACATATTTTTGATCTCCGATAGAGCAAGATTGGACTGAAAGAGTAGCAACATGCTATTGTGGTTGACTATAATTAGGAGGCTGATAATATACATTTGTTGTAGTTGTTGCAGTTTTTGAACTTGTGGTTGTCAATGTGGTGGAGGAGGATTAAGGACATTTGTACTCTTGCACAACAAATTTGGATGATTCCACTTGGAGTATAATTTATTTTTTCTACTCCGTATAGAACTTGAAGGTATTAACCCACTCGAGTGAACTCCTATATTTTTGTGATCAATGTTTATACCATAGTAATCATAAAAATTCTCATTGAACTTACTAGAAGATAGAATTGCATGTTGTTAAACTTTTAGCTAAAAGAACTTAATTGTGCCTATAACGAGGATATAGAATCAACTTCATGTTTGTCTGCCATATTTGCTAGACCTCAAGGATTGCCATAATGAGAGTTATGAATGATTATTTTCCTCGTCAGATCATCTGCAACATTAACTTCCAAATTCATCACCCTTCTAGTCACTGTAGAGTCAATTAGGACCCTTGAATTATTCCCTAAACCATAATAAAAATTTTGCACCAAGAACAACTCTTGTAGACCATCCATGGTGGGAACATTACCTCTAAAGCTCTTTGAATCTTTCCCAAGCCTCATACAATGATTTATCACCATTTTAATATGGCTTCACAATCTAGTAGTTCTCTTAATGGTATTTGATATGAAACAACCAACAAAACCAAGAAATGAGGGAAAAATTAACTAATAACAATTTCAAATCATCAAAACAACATAAACCTATCTCAAAAATCACCAAAATCTATGATATAGGGGTTCTTAATCAAAAGCCAACACCAAGTAAATCTATGATTAAGATGTAACCATAAAGATTACAATGTAGCAATCACAAAGAAAGCAAATAATCACCAAGATTAAGGAGAGAGAAATCTCATTGATTTCAAAATTAAGCAAAAGTTTTTTCAAAACAACAAGCTTAACCCTAGATATAGGGCTTTACAAACAAAACCTAGATATCTTAAATTACAACCTTAGGATTACAAGATGAGTGGCCAAGATTAAAAGCAAGAAAAAAACATCCAATGAAAGAATCAAGCCGCTGCAGAACAGGGGCTCTAGAGCGGTCACTCCAAAGCTTCTGCCAAAAATTCCAATTCCGGATGGAGTGGTCGCTCAAAAGGTTGGAGCGGTTGCTCCAAAGAGTGAAGCGGTCGCTCCAAAGATTGGAGTGGTCGCTCTAGAGGTTCTGCCTGGATAGCTCAATTTCAAACGCTTATAACTTCTTCATTTCTCGCTCAAATTGGGCATGTGACCTGCCGTAGGAAAGTTCTTGGGCTCAAAATTTTATCTCCAATTTGAATCACCTAAAAATTTCTTGTAACGAAGAATATATACCTATTTGAAGTTCAGTAGTCCATTATTTATCAAGTGCTAGCATTTCTTTCTCATCCTTGTTTCCATGCTTACATCTTCAACCATCAATTGTAAAATCAAGAGACAAGGATTGTTCATATTCACCTAAGCCACATCATAACAAATAATTCATCAAAAAAGTTGATTAAGCTATAAATTCCACTAAACGGATCATATAGCCATACAATCCGTAGGTTTCAAGGACGCTCCCGCATCAGTTTATCTCCCGTAAAAAGCCAAACTAAAAGAATTCCAATCAATAATACCAACAAGAGTAGTTCGGTTAAGACCATTGTACCACATTTTTGCCTTGTCTCTGTAGGAAAAAGAGAAAAAGATCTCTTAAATTTGATCTTGTGCTACACTTTGCTGCTTAGTGGAAAAATATTGAATAAAACTACCACCAAGTTGCTTCCTTTCAATCACATTCAACAATGCCGGTTTTATATATCTCAAAATTCGATGCCTCGATTGCAAGAATTGCATTGCTCTTAGGGAGTTTATGGTTTGGAGGAGGCCGGGTGAGCCATCTCGCTTTGAGTAGCTGTAGTACTTGAATTAGAGTAAGTATTCAAGGGTATGTCTCCCTCTAAATTATCTCAAAACTATTTAATGAAATTCTCCCATTTATGAAAATATTGTTCATTATTAATTAAAGATCGAATATATAATCTAAACTAGAACCAATGGGCATAACCGAACTAAAAAACAAAGAATTATGAGATCTTGTCCCGAATGACGTATGTTTTGTAAGACAAAAGAAAATATTCTAGACTCTAAAACAATTATAAATAAAAATAAAATCGTTTCTCCTTTGATTTACCTAATTTTAAAAAAAAAGTCCTCTAAAAATTTACCAAATTTTTTATCTAATAAAAATTTTGAAAGCAAATTGCTCACCTAGTAAAAACTTACTGAATTGAAGCCTATCAAGGTGCAACAACTCTTGTGTGACCAATCCCATCCTAGCATTATTATTATAAATAAAGTAAAGGATACAACCCGAGTTCCACTCAAAAGAGGTCAATAAATAGCCTAAATGTTGTCTAGCCTAGAATGCATGATTTGGTCCTCAAAAGGACCATAAACAGGGTTGACGGACCTTTAACAGTATCAGGGTTCACCAAGAACAAGAAAGGGGTCGACAGGTATTCAGCCACCTCGGAGTAAAGATAGTATTCCGAACCTAGTATGCTTGGAAGGGGGCAAAAATAGACTAGCTCTTAACTACCCAAAAGATCCTATTGGGATGAAAAATTCTCAAAGGGCAAAAAGTCCAACCTAA